CTGATTTGCAGATGAATCCTTAATGTCTCACAAATTTCATGTGCTCAGCTGTGGGGTTTTCTCTTACACTGTGAATCTACATAAATTAGTAGTTCTAGAACCACCTTGTGTTCCAGCCAGCTCTGCCACAGCACCACCGGCTACTGCAGACCCCACTTGTGATCCAACCTCAGGGATGCTTCAACCCAGGCTCAGAGATTGTGAAAGCCACATGGAATTAGCAGCCAGGAAATGGCTCGGGGCAGGAGCGGAGCAAATGCACTGTGGAGGAAGGGCTGGTCCTGGTTCTCCCCAGTGGCCCCTCTGAGAGCAGTCGGTGCATTTCACTGCAGTGTCCTAAACCACGCTTTGGGCTATTAGATGAAGACCAGCGTGTGGGAAAGGAGGTCGGAGAGATTCCTGTAAAGTGAAATCGGATGCTGAGGCAGAGCAAAGGGGAGCAGCTCTGTCACAGGGGGACATGGAGAGGATCTCTCAGAGCTGAGAAGGCACCTCTTGTGCAAGAGTCTTGTTGTGCAAATGTTTTCTAACATGGCCCAAACCAGGCAGGCAGGGGCTGGGCGAGGAAGCAGCACCCATGGGATGCTGTGCTGCTGCAAGCTGCCCTGCGATGGAGGAGCAGCCCCATCCTGTGTGTGTGCAGGCTCATCACCTCACCCTGTGTGACACTGCCACCCGGCCCGGCCATCACCAGGGCTCCTGGGCTGCTCTGGGTTAGGGTGCTGCCTGCAGTGGCTCTGCTCTTCTGCCTGGGCAAGGTCCCTCTCAAGGGATCCTCTGCCTTGATGGGACTAATGTGTCACCCTCCCAGTAGCCTTCTCGAGAGCTGGAAATTAAGCAAGCACGTGATAATTTATAGGTTTGTAATTGTGTTTTTTGTGTAGCACTGCGTTCAGGTGGAAGCTTAATGATGGGGCAAAGCAAAATCACAGAATCCCAGACTGGTTTGGGTTGGAAGGGACCTTAAAGCTCCTCCAGCTCCAACCCCTGCCATGGGCAGGGACACCTTCCACTAGAGCAGGTTGCTCCAAGCCCCTGTGTCCAACCTGCCCTTGAACACTGCCAGGGATGGGGCAGCCACAGCTTCTCTGGACAGCCCATTGTGTGTTTGCTCATCCTGCCCCTCCGAGGGCTGAGCCCCAGCCCCCTGGTGCCAGCAGCTTGTGTCTCCTCCAAGTGAATCAGCTCAGGGAGGACAGGCGCCCGCCCCTGGCACTCCTCAGCTTTGGGAGTGAAGAACCGAGGTGTTCCTTCAGAAACACCCGCCAGCAAAACAAACCCCAGTTGTTTTCATTAATAAAGCTGGAAGCCTGAAGCGTGTCTTCACGCAGCAAGACAGCGACCCTGTGCATGTTAAGCCCGCAGAGCAGCGGTGCTGGCCGCAGCCCAGGCCCTCCCCACCAGCTCTCCCTGCACAAAGAACTGCTTCAGGACTACATAAAAATTCGAAGTGTTTAGATGTCCGGGTGTGAGAAGCTGCTCCCGGGCTGGGGCAGCTCTGTGGGTGCTTCCTGACAGCCTGCGTCTTCCCAGAGAGAATCGCAGAGGCAAAATAACCCCCAGACAAGTTCCCTTACACTGAGGAGCTTTATTTTATGTGTGGGGAAGATTTTTCCCCCTGAAGTAATTAAAAGAGCCTCTTTCACACAGAAAAAAGGGAGGGGAGGGAACTCTTCTGAAGAGCCTCTTTCCTTCTCTCTCCCCTCCTATGGCACAAGGACTTTCATCCTAATACAAATAGGCCAGCTGAGATTTTTAATTTAAGGTCCCCAGGGCATCCACCCAGCAACAAAAGCGAAGTTAAACAACTCCAAACAGCAGCAGAACGGGGGTGTGGTGGTGGAAATAATGCCCGGCTAAGTGGGAAACTTGAATGATGATACATGGAAAAAGTTAAACAATTAGAACTTGAATCATCTGGCACCGGTCCCACCTCATTGAGTTAATAAATGGTGTCCTTCGTTACGTTTGATCTTATGCGTCTTCATTTCCATGGCATGAGGAGGCTGGAGGGTGCTCCTGGGGACAGTTGGGGGTCTGGGAGGGGTCCCAAAGCCAGCCAAGCACCCTGTGTCCCCATCAGTGTCACCCCTGGGGATCACCCCATGGGGTGGCAGTGCCCAGGGCAGAAGGGCCATAGATCCTTATGGCTATAATATATAAACACATCCGACACACATCTGCATTTAAGGGTGAACAGAAAAATCACTAATTGGAAAGCCACAAGCATGTTAATTATTTGCATATGTGCACTAATCAGACATGGGGTTTCACAGACCCACGCTGCATGGAAACCCTCCCTGCCACAAGCAGAGCCTCAGAGGCTTTGCCTTTTTAAATCCCTCAGCTAAACCCCGCTGAGCCCGTGGCTCACCCTCCTGATCCGCTGGCTCCTGCTGCCTGGTGGGTTTCCACCATTCAAGGTGGGACAGAGCTTTTTCAAGCTCCTCTTGCCTTTTTTTACAAGGGCCTGTAGGGGCAGGACAAGGGGAATGGCTTGAACCTGCCAGAGGGGAGATTGAGATGAGCTCTTGGGCAGAAGCTCTTCCCTGTGAGGGTGCTGAGGCGCTGGCACAGGGTGCCCAGAGAAGCTGTGGCTGCCCCATCCCTGGCAGTGTTCAAGGCCAGGTTGGACACAGGGGCTTGGAGCAACCTGACATAGTGGAAGGTGTCCCTGCCCGTGGCAGGGTTGGAGCTGGAGGAGCTTTAAGGTCCCTTCCAATACAAACCAGTCTGGGATTCCAGGTAACAGGCAGAGACACAACAGCCCAGCCCATCTCTGCACCCGATGCGATGCAGGATCCCAAGAAGGCCTCATGAGTTAAAAAACCCCAACCAAATCCTGCCAAGACACAGGCCAAGCCTCAAGCAAGGCTCTCAATGCACGATGCCATGGGAAGCACAGCAATCCACCCCTGAGATCACCCGGTTTATCCAGTATCCTCCTTACCTGGACGCTGAAGGACACCCGTATGTACCGGCACTGCCATGGGAGAGCCCAGCAGGGAGCAGGCAATGGCCGAGCAGAACACCACGAGACACAAAGCCATGAATACAGTTTTATTTTGTATTCCATACAAATGGTGCCCTCCCCCTGTTTTACAGTTCAGTGGCATTCCCTGGGGACACGGGAGCCTCACGTGTGGCAGCTCCTACAAACCCCCTAATGCGAATGAGGTGGCCTGAATTCAGGAATCAACGTGCCCTGGAATGCGGAATTCAGAACAACTGCTTCTGACAGTGCTAAACCCACGGCTCCAAGCAGAGCCCTGCAAAGAGGGCAGAAACACTTCCCACCTGGTTATTGTCAGTCTCATCATCATTCACAGTCATCCCAAGCATTTCCCTTCCGCCCCACCGAGCGAGGCTGTGCAGACCAGAAACACAGCGCTGCCGTAACGAACCCTTGTACTTTAACAACTACAAATCCTGACGGCAGAGGGAGGGGAGGTGGATGTTCTGCTGCTGGCAGGGAGGCGCAGGACCAGCGTCCCTGTGGCTGTGAGGTGGTACCTGGCTGGAGGGAGCTGCATGCTCAGGAACAAGGCTGGAGCAGCTCCTGTCCCTGTAAGGCACTGCATGAAGAGGTCTAGATATAGCCCAGTACCACCCTAAAATCCCTAACTCGCTTCTGGGGTGCAGAACTTGTAGGAAGAGACTGTGTGCTCAGCCCCAAACCCTTCTCCAGTCCCAGATTTCCCCCGCCAGGAGGGGAAGGAGTGCTTTGGCCATCGCCCCATCTCTTATTTTCCTTTTCCATGGAAAGAAAGCGAGCACAGACATTCCTTTTTCTCCCCCACATCTTCCCTCTCTCAAGTGAGGAGGAGGAAGGAGACTGTTGCAAAGCAGAAGTAACCTTGTGGTACCAAACACACGGCTCCTATCGGCACTCGGCAGCTGGGAGATTAAACTGGGAGACTAAACTCTCCCTCCTCCAGTCACCAACATGAAAAAAACCCCGCATTTCTCCAACAAAGCAACATTCCAAGATCCTCAAAACCATCTCCCCTTTAAATAAAGTGGATGACGGACCTGGCTGAGAGCAGCGCCTTGGGATACGGGTATAAATCCAGTCCTGCTGCCTGTGGACTCAGGGCTCACCAGCTCCAGTTACTTCCTAAGCGCCGGGAGGGATTTGATCAGCACCTCCCCAGCGGGAGGCAGACCCGGATGGCGGCAGTCTGGGACCTAGAAATAAAGGGCTACAAAAACATAGCAAAAGATGGGGAAGAGTCAGAACAGTCAAAGCAATGAGAGCAGTGGGGCTGCAGCAAGGGAGGTGGAACAGCCGAGGTGGGCTCCGTGCTGTTCCAGTGTCCTTTAAGGCGTGCTGGGGGGATTAGATGACAGAGAACAACTGAATTAGGAGTGAAAGAAGGGAGGAAAAAGCCTCCTTGTGTGGGAACTCGGATCGGTCCATGTCACCCTCGCGCTGCAGTGCCCTGATCCAAGGAATTGCACAGCAACTGCTGTTTTAAGAGACCACTCTTCCTCAGCACATCTGCTGGGATGAGCCAAGGACCCCGACCCACTGGTACCACATCCCAGACTCCTCAGGGGGTCGGCTTTTAACCACTGGGGCAGCCAGAGGGCAGGAGATAAATGTCAGGATATCAGAGTCAGCTTCATTTGTTAAAGTGCCTTATTTTCTATCAGCTTTTAAAACATCTTCCTTGCTTTTTCAGAGGGGTGACAAAAAAGGGGGAATACTGGTTTTATAGGAAACAGAGTAGAGAATTAATCAATATTTACATAGATCTTGGATAAGCTTATGGCACAGACTAATACCCACCGCAGCAACCCAAAAAGCAGAGTGTCAAAAAGAAGGGAAAAACCTGTTCGTATGCTCTCAACACCATCGCCCGGAGATCCCAAGTGTAAACGGTTTTATCTAGGAAAAGGCATTTTCACTTGGGCTCTGGTAACCGGGGTTGATTCCAGCCCCAGCGCAGCCGGTGGCGGTGGGTGGGCGCCCGCCCTCTGCACAGCTCAGCCCGGGTTTAGACAAGTTCAACCTTGGCGTTTGGATAAACAGCCACCACGTCATATCCCTCGGGGGGCTTAACCCTCTCCTTGGCGTGCGTCTCGCAGTACAGCTGCTCTTCGATGAAGAAATACCCCCTCTGCTTCAGGTTGAGGCCGCAGTCGTCACACATGAAGCACTCGGGGTGGTAGAGCTTGTCCCGAGCTTTGACAATCGTGCCCCTGGGGAGGGATGGGGAGAGCTCGGGTGAGGTGAAGCAATGAGCACAAACAGCTTTGCATAGACTCACAGACTGGTTTGGGTTGAAGGGAGCTTAAAGCTCCTCCAGCTCCAACCCCTGCCACGGGCAGGGACACCTTCCACTAGAGCAGGTTGCTCCAAGCCCCTGTGTCCAACCTGGCCTTGAACACTGCCAGGGATGGGGCAGCCACAGCTTCTCTGGGCACCCTGTGCCAGCACCTCAGCACCCTCCAGTAAAATGGAGTAAGTGAAGGAAAGCAGCATGCAGGGACATGTGAGGATGTTATCATGGGTTCCCATCCCAACATCTCAGCCCACCCAAAGCTGCCATCCATCTCCAGGCACAGCTCCATCCCACTCCAGCTGCCATCCCACTCCAGGCACATGTTTCTGTGGGAAGGGATGCTCTGTTCCCATTTGTCCGCATCACTCCAGGACTTTGATACAAAGCAGAGCCTTCAACATCTATGCTCAGGCTGGATCTGAGCATCAGAAGCCAGCATCTGAACACCCTCCAGGCACTGCTGGCAGGGCTGGGGTTGCACACATGCAGGCATTGAAGCTTTTGGAGCATCTCTGCTCAGCTCGCAGCACCAGCAAGAACATGGTTACAGCATTTGCAGAGCAGGCTCCCAGCCAGCAAATCTGGCTTGAGAAGTAAATTACAATAGAACATAAATTACAACACAATGAAGCAGGGAAATGCCTATATGCTCTGAAATCAGACCCAGCATCTATCCATCGGAGAGTAACTCCTCAATAAACAAACAAAAATAACCCACAGAGCTCTTCTACTTGACCCTCAAAGTGTTTCTCCCTCCACAAGGCAGTGAAAGAGTGCCAGCACTATTCATAGTCTCTGGGCAGTTACTAGGATAAGCAGGGCAGAAACCATCCCATGAATCATCCCCGTTTTGCTGCAAGATTCCCTTAAAAGGGACAAGCCAAACCATATTCCTCAATTCCAGGTTTATATATGGTTAGCAAAAAGCAGAAAGGGATTCAGGGTATTCTGCTACAAACTCTGACCCGCACATCTGGTAGGACCCGACCCAGCTGCGTTCCCATCCCCATCGACCGGAGGCTCCAATGGGATGTGACACTTACACGATGCCATTCCCACAGCGGGTGCACTCAGGGAGCATCTGCAGCCCGGACATGGCCCCGCCAAGCTTGGACACTGGGGACTTGATGTTTCGGGGGTTGCTCAGCTTGTCGAGCTTCTCACCTGCCAAGAATGTTAAACAGACACACACTGAGAACCTGTCCTCGCTCGGCTTTAGTTTCTCTTCTTCTTTCTTTCACAAGGAGTCAAATGAGTCTTTGTCTGTTGCAACAGGCTTGGAAGGAATGAAAAAGTGGGACCAACTAGATTCAGACAGCATCTGGGGCCATGGATGACTGCAGGACACCATGTTGAACCTCTGCTCATCCTAACGAAGCATGGCTCATACACCTTGCCAAGGGCAAAGCAGCTTTAATCTAGAGGTGAGAGATGAATTTGGCTGCTAGACTATTTAGTGAGTACCCCCCGGGTCACCCTTGGGATGCGCAGGCACCCTCCCAGAGCAGACCCCATCTCCAGCCATAGCTCTGGTCCAGACACCAACACAAGCCAAGTGAGTAAACCCAGAAGAACTAATTTCCCACCAAATCCCACTTTCCTGAGACAAAATGCGGTGTTTGGAGATGCCGAGAGCCGGGACACGTGTGAGACCTCCTGCCCAGGAGCAGCGTGGGGCTGCTCCAGCCCAGGGGTCCCCCAGCCCTTGGCTGGCTCCAGGCCAGCTCCCTCGCCGAGTCCTTCCCCTGCCTTGCTGGGAATAAACCGAAACAACTGCTCAAGCTGTTGGCGTCCCGCAGGGTGGGACACAGCGTGCTTGGACCGGACACGCTCATCTGCCAGCATTCAACAGCTAAGCTGTCACTGTCTCTCAGGCAGAGCACTTGGACAAGCTGCTTAGAAAAGAGAGGAGGGGAAGGAGAGGAAAAACCCGAAAGGTTTTACAGCAAAACAAGCCCAGCAGAGAGGGCTCCTTCCCACCCTCCCAAACGATGGATTGTTTCCTTCTATTTACTAGCCCACGGCCTCACAGTAATTTATGGTCCTCAGCACAGCAGCGAGATGCTTTAACTCCACAATCTGAACCATCACCACCCCCGTTTGTGGCTGCCGTGCTCATCCTTCCCACACCAAGGGCACCTAGAGAGACAACTGCTGTGATTCCTCCAGCCTCCCCCAAATCCTCAGCACGAAGCTTCACTCTTTAAGGGCGTGGGATGGGGCTGGTGATGCTGAAGAAGCTGTGGCTTCCAGTAGAAACACCTTCTGTATAAATCAGGTTGTTGTCCGAGACATCCAGCTCCTCAGGAGAGCAGATCTTGACTTTAAAAGGACAACACAAAGCAGACTCAGTCCAAAATGTATAATTTTAGGCTTAAGGAAAAAGGAGGAGGGGTGGGAGCTGTAAAACAACGGAAATGCTTCTGGGGATTTAAACCGGGCTGAAACATCAGAGTTTTATGCCAGGAGAGAGCCTTTTCACATAATTTCTCATCCGCGATGGAATAAACAGTGTGTAACAACCAGGGCATGAGCCAGGCTGTACCCGCAGCCACACGTCCCCACTGCCAGCACAGCCGAGAGGGAAGGGGGTGGCAGAGCCCCGGGAGGGGACCCCTCCAGCCTGTCACCACGCTGGCTCATGCCCATCAGCAGCATCCTGGGCTACAACCCAATAATGCTGTGCTAGGGATGGGCTGGTGCCAAGGAACTGCCAGGATGAGCAGACACCAGCATGGGCTGGGGCAGATCCTGTGTCCAGGCACTGTCCTGGCACCTCTCTGTCCTCCACAGCCACAACCATCTTCTTCTCCTGTCCTCCCAAAGGGCAGTGCTGGGTTGCAGGGCTGCAGGATGCGAGGGGAGGCAGGAGCAAATCAGCAAAGCTCCAATTTTGTTCCCTTTCCCTGGCACAGAGAAGGGAGGGATCAGAGAACCATAGACTGGTTTGGGTTAGAAGGGACCTTAAAGCTCCTCCAGCTCCAACCCCTGCCCCGGGCAGGGACACCTTCCACTATGTCAGGTTGCTCCAAGCCCCTGTGTCCAACCTGGCCTTGAACACTGCCAGGGATGGGGCAACCACAGCTTCTCTGGGCACCCTGTGCCCATGTCTCACAGCATTATTAATTGGGATTAACACAGGCACGTCCTGTTTATTCCTCCTAATGAGGAGATGCGGGGGTGCAACAGACACTGCACGGGAAGCTGCTCTCAGTGAAGGACTTGAAGGTACAACTGGAGCCTGTAATTAACACAAGTTTTCCTGCCAGCCTAGGAGGGGCTGCAATATTTACACCCAGTACTTCCAAGGCTGATCCTATCTCGTGCTTTGCAGACATGCCTCAGTACCACTGAGGAAACTGGAATTGGCAGAACCTCTTGATGCTCAGAAGTTACCTGCGACCGTGCTTCTTGTGAAGCAAGAAGCAATATCCTTCTAGTCAAAGAGGGTTTGCCATCATTTTATATACACAGAAAGTGAAGTGCAGCAGTCTGACTCGCTGCCTCTTGCAGCTCCATAATGAGATTTCCAGTAATTGGTGTTTTCCCATAAAATCTAAGTTCTTGGATTCACATGATCGGAGTATGAGGCTCTTGGAAGGAAGCAGAAAGAAGAGTCTTGCCCTAATGATTGTAAAGCAAAGCCTGAGAGTTTGAACATAAAAGCCTCGGTAGACTTAAGGTTGAAAGGCAAATAAAAAGAAGCTAAAATGTATAGTTTGGGGATCTTACTTAATGCTTGGAGTTGGCTCCCGCTTGTGTTAACGACACAGGCAGGAAGCTGTGACAGACGCGAGATGTGAGCCAGGAGCTCCTGATCTCTATCCCTGCATTGCTGAGGACCATCCCACGTCCTTATGCAAATGCCATTTACTCAGACAGGCTGCTGGTTCTCCACTGGTGATCTTACACAACTGCTTCAGGCCATTGCATTTCATAAGCGATCCTGGGAATAAAGCTGCCACGCAGAAGCCATTTGGAAACCCAACTTTCACACGATGCTCAAGTCAACCACAAAAAAAATCTGGTAAGCCCCCAGATGGTGAGTGTCTGAAGCCCTGGTTTGAAACCTGCCACCCAGATGGAGGGATCCAGGACCCTCACAGGGTGCTCAGACCTTCCCATGTTGAGCTGAGCTGCCTCAGTACCAAAGCGATGTGTGGTAAAATCGCAAAGCAGAGGAGGTTACAAACCCTCCCCACCAGCTCTTGTAGATGGGTCCTTCAGAGGCTCTTCAAGCTTCTGGACCTCAGCAAAAGAAGGACACGGAGGTGAAGCCCTCAACAGCAGCTTGGTGGGTGTGGGACCATGGAAGGGTGTGCAGAGGGACCATATGATGGCTTCAAGCCACAGCCCCATTCACAGGGAGGTGTAGAGGACTCGATGGGACACACTATGGATGCCAACCTCCTTACCATTCTCACCAGCTTCCAACATGCCCTGCAAGTACCGGAAGGATCCGGACTGCTTAGGCTCTGAAATGGGCTTTTCATAATCCTGAAGCATCTTGTAGACGTCCGACTCCACATCAATCCCGTTTCTGTTCCGTGGGAGAGACTTCACAGGGTCAATGCTGTTTTGAAGGAAAAGAAAGAAAGGATCAAGTCAAATATAATCAGCGACTGCCAGCTCGTGAGGGACTGATTCCACATTCCCAAGATTCACTTAAACACTCTCTGTTCCCATCAGTTTCTGTGCCTGGAGGTGCCTGTCCCAGGAACAGCCACTGAGCCAGGGAAGTTAAACTTGTTCCCTGTTCAGCTCTGATTGAGCAACACAGTTTGGGCTGGCCCAGTTACCAGATGCCTTCGGGAACTAGGGCAGCTGTTACCAGCACTGCCAACTGCTGTGCCACACATGGAATGTATTGGGAAAAATGGGAAAAACAATGAGTTTCTTTAATTATGTAGGGCCAGGAGATCCAGCCACCCCTTGTACCCCTGTCAGGACATCCAGCACCGGGAGAGCGTGTGCTGCTGCTGGGCACAGGCATGACAGCAAATCTCCTTTCCACCCACAAGTGCCTCTTTTAAAGTTAGCACTCCTGTAGGTGACTGCATGAAAAGAGCCATTTGCCAGGCACAGCCACAGCCAAAATGAGATGGTGGAGGGGACACAAGAGCAGCCCCGTAACTGTCCCCCAACCTCCAGCATCCAGACCTGATGCTGCTCCTTGTCTGTATGTGGCATGACCAGGGTACAACAAAGAGTCATTTAAACTGTGATTCCAGTTCACTCAATACAGCAAAACATGAAAAGCATCATCTGGAATCAAAAGTATTCTGGGTACATGTGTCCTGCTGAGCAGAGGTGAATTCAAGTGCTGTTGTGCTTCAGTGGGGCCCCAAAGCACAGCGCAGCTTGGGGGGAAGGGGCTCCTTTTCCTGTTTAAGGAGGAGGTCACCAAGGTCATTATAAAGCCAACAAAAGTAGAAAGAGCCCTGAACCCCCATCACACAGATTTTAGCCATCATACGGCTCATTTTCTCAACCAGCATTGCATTCATTATATTAAAAAAGAAAGGAAAAAGCAATAAAAATCACTTTCAAACAAAGAAAACCAGCCTCTGGTGCCCCTCTGCTACAGCCCTCTCATACCTCAGTTCACACATCCTCAATGAAAACGGGCAGGATTTGACCTGTCCAGCCCGATCAAGCACAAATTCAAAGGGAATGCACTTCTGCCCCAATTCTACTCAAACACTTGAGCTGATCTCCTGCCTTTTGGCTTGCACAGAGATAAACAGGAGATTTTGTTCTCCATACTTTTTGTGCAGATCCCTTCATTCCAACTTCATTAACTTCCCCGGAGCAGCGCAGGGAATAAGCTGGCTCGCAGCGTCACTGAAATATGAATTAGTGCAGGCAGAGAGCTCCCCAGCTGAACACAAACGCTTTGCTCTTTGTATTGATGCAGACATTGGTTTCTTGAAGGATATGTTGCCAGTCTAGAGGAGCATAAATCAGCAGCAGCCTAAGCCATGCGCAAGCACCGCAGTCCACAACCTGGCCCGTCTCAAAGCCCAAGTCTTCCACCCAAAGCCTTCTTGGCTGCACAAAAGCTGCTTCTTTCCTTGGAGTGTTCTTTATTTCCCAGCCTCCCGCACAGCTGCACGGGGCTGATGGGACCTTCATAAACATCCCCATTTACTGGGGTTCATTTTCCCTGTGAATACCTCCAGCTCCAGACCAAGCATTTGCTCCTGGGTCCGTGGTGGTGCAATCCCCACTCCTAGGAGGGCAAACCCCTCCATCCTGCCTTGCACAGATACTTTGGAAAAACTAGGATACCAACATTTCTGATGCTCTCTGGCATTAATCCCATCCTGGGGACTGGATCTGATGCTGCTAATCTACCTACCCCCATTGGCAATAGGAGGATCTTATGGAGACCTGAAAAACCAGCTCCTTCACCCATCTTCAACTTCTGGGAGATATTGAGAGACATTGAGGAGCTGGGTCCAGAGAAGGGCAACAGAGCTGGTGAAGGATCTCAGGGGCTCCAGGACTGCCACAGCACAATGTATCCCCCTGACACTGAGTTTGCAGCAGGGAACCCAGAGCCTGACCATGCTCTCGCCCTACCTGTGGGCAGGAGCTATGTGGAGGCCACTCAGCTGGCTTGGCAGAGCTGACTCGGAGCTGCTGTTGGCATAGAGCCGGTTCGGGTGGTGGTGCTGCACATTCAGCATCTGCTTGTTGTCCATGGCGCTGCCACCAGCCACAAGGGGCATTGTCCTCCTGCTCTGGGCTGGTCCATTGTCCTGGAAGAGAAGAAAAAGCAGAAACACCTTGAGCTTTATGGTTCTTAGTAGGATACACACAGAGGGGCTGCGCTGAGATGTGCACTTTGTGGTAGTAATATTTTATACATGCTGTGGAAAACAGAGATATGCAGCAGGAAAAGGAAAACTCAGGCTTGACCCGCAGTTCAGTCTTGCTGAATCTCTGCAGCTTTCCTTGGTCTCGGACCAAATGAACTTGCCTGTTCCCCCACGGTGAGCCACTGCCAAGTGTTCCACATTCACTCTCCTGTAAAAGCCTATTTGTTATTTCCGCAGAAGAAAGGCTGTGAGTCTGCTTCTCATTTCATGTTACATCGCTCCAGAGCTGTTATCGCTCTCCTGACTTGGGGCAATCACTCTGATTTACAGCAACAAAACCCAAGCTCTCAGCTCCAGGTACAGGCTGGGCGAGACCTGAAGCCAAGGGGCCAATTCTGGTATTTTCACTTATTTGCGACTACCTCTGTCCACAAAGATCCATGGTTTTGGGAGGTTCTGTCCCACAATAAGCTCAGTGAGAAACACACTGGTCAAAGGTTCAGCTTGGTCTTCATATTCTCATTTGCTTTTTAATTCACAAGGCAAACTATGGAAATATGACCTCATGTCAGGAAATGAGATGCCATTAAACCACAAGTTTTCCATATTATTTCCCTTAAATAAAACACTACCTATGTGTTTTTACATAGCTTTGTTAGTCAGCCCCACGCACACCCATAAATCCAACAGTACCTACTGCTAATCTTGCCACAAGCCACCTCTTCCAGGCTGTGACCAGCAGCCCGTTCCCCAGAGAGGGGCTAATTCCAGTT